TGAGTTTGTGCGTGTTTGTGAGCCCACATCTGTGTGTGTGTGTGTGTGTGTGTGTGTGTGTGTGTTATTTCTTACCACTGTGACAAGTGAGTAGGGGTAGCTGAACGAGGAACAGATACAAAAGAGGTGGAGGTGTCAGAAGCAGAAAGCGAACTTTTCCAAAGGGACGGCAGACAGGAATGCCTCTTGTTGGGGAGGAAGCGTGTGAAAACAGGACTGTGCGCGATTCTCCTCTTTCCCCGAATGTCTCGGGTTGTTTCTGTGTGTTCACCGTCATCTTTTTAATGGATGGAGAGTAGGCTGAGGTCAAGGTCAGACAAGTGCTATGTGTTTGGGTGGTAAAGTAAATACATCTTCTGATTGTAGCAAACGGTTGTTTAAGCCCTCTGCACTGATGATTTATGTGTGTCCCTTGGACCTAAGGAAGCTATAGATAGAGAGTGCAGGAGGGCTGGTTTAGCTGTCCCTCTTCAAATCCTAATGCTGCTGCTGTGTAACCTTAGGTAAGGTAACGCACTTTCCTGTGTTTTTTTTTTTCTCATAGGTAAAGAGACTGATAATAGTTTTATCAATTTCATGGGTATATTGTGAAAGCTGAATATACTAAAATATAGACACCACCTATAAAACCTGTGGCATAAGCACTTTGGAAATGCTAGCTATTTCTTTTTTTTTTTTTTTTCTCCGGTACCAGGAACCGAACTCACGACCTTCTGCTTGCCAAGCAGGCGCATTGCCACTGAGCTAAATCCCCAGCCCAATGCTAGCTATTTCTTTCACCCCAAAATTTAAGGTACTGAAGATGTAAGAGATGTATTAACATAATTTGAATACTGAGTAATATATTTTTCAGTAAAAGACAGAGACAGAATTTTTTATTTTTCCTTTTGTTACGCTGAGGATCAAACCCAGGGCCTTACACACACCAGGCATGTGTTACTGAGCCGCATCCCGAACCCAGAGGCGGTAGGCAGAGAAGCTGCAGTTATAAAGTAACCAATTAATTACTGTGAAAGAAATGTGAGCTATCACCATAGGAGCAGGGAATGTGAGGGAGGTTTCTCCCTGTGGCAGTGGGATTCCGTGTGCAATGTAGGAAGAAGGAATGCCACACTGAAAGGAAAGAGCTTAGGGCACGGTGCTATGGGGATGACAGTAAGGGCACCAAGACAGGCCACAGGCAGTGTGAGAAGGAGCGCGAAGTCTGTGTTTAGCATGTTAGGATCTGTGAGCAGCGGGGCAGGATTTAGCTAGGGAAGTAATGTGACAGCAGAATTTGTATCGAAGGGAAATACCCAAAGTGCTTTCCATGCCCAGGGAGGACCCATGTTGTGTGTGCAGTTGGGGCAGCTCACTGACACATAGGCCTGGAGCTGGGCTTGGAGGACAGGTTGGGTTGGGGGTCGAGAGAGGACATCTCTGTGGGGGATTAGCAGGGTGGGTTCGTGGGGTGGGGAGAGGACTTGGACTTGAGCAGAAGAGAGTTGAAACTTAGTTGATGAACTGTGGAGGTGGCTCAGACTATGCAAATATGAACAGTGAGTTGCATGAATTTAAGGTCGCCCTGGTTATTCCAAGCAGCAGGGTGAGCTGAGGAAGCAAGGGACAGGGACAGGGATACATGTTCTGGGCATGGAGCACAGGGCAGATGGGGACGGCCTGGAGACCAGGAGGTTGGAGATGTAGGCAGCAGCTGCTGTGAGTGAGCTGGGACAACAGGGGAATGGAGGGCAAAGGGTCCCAGAGGAGGGGCTGCAGGTGAGACGGGTGGGATGTGAGGACACCCGGAAGGGAAGCGGAGGGAAGGCGCAGATCACAGCCGAGCCTGGACTGCGAAGACTGTGCAGGTTGGAGGGTGACCGGGCAGTCAGCCTATGCTGGTCACACTTGGTTGTAGTTCTGCTGCGTCTTCGTCACTTCGCTCCAGCAGCTGCAGCCCTGACCTCTGCCCAAGCCCTTTCCGTGGATTTGTGAGCCGGGACGTGTTGACAGGGATTTAGGGGATTAGCACAGTTGTGTCCTTCCCCGTTCAGCCTCTTGATTTCCCTGTTGCCGAGCTGCTCCGCTGGTGACTCTGGTTCAGCTACTGCTCTTGGCGAGAAGGTGCATGGTTAGCTCGTGGTGAGACAGTTTCTTTCTGCTTCCACGAATGGATGACCTTTTTTCTTTCTCAGCTGGGGCCATTCCTCTTTGTCCTGTAGCAGATTCTCCTTTCAGAACATTAAATGGCTGTGACCAGAACGCGGGTAGATGGAAAATTCTATCCCAGTTTTGAGATACGTTTAGTTTACCTTTTGTCTGCTTTAACCCAGTGACGGGAGACATCACGTTGATGTGCTTGAGGACTATAATGTGTCTCTTTGCAATCTGAAAGCCGGGCTAATGCAGAAGAAAGGGACTTGCGTTTGGGATGACATTGGCATCATTAGGGAGAGAGATATGATTTATCGCGGTTACTGACCATTGTAAACCCAGAATTAAGCAGTTGGATCCACCTCACAGCAGACCCTGTGTCTACTCCACCACTGGCTCTGGGGCAGAGGAGAAAGCAGCATTTCAGCTAAGAGCAGAAGGGGGGGAGGGTGCTGCTGTGCGTGCCTGGTGTCTCCTCCAGGTTCTCTCCACCTGCACTGCGGGGTGAGGCTGCAGGTCTTTGTTTCTGTGGCTCCCTCCGCAAGGAAGGAGCCGTGGGAAGCAGGGAGGAAACAGTGTCTCTCTCAGCCTCCATTCCTGGGTACACCTGTGGAAGTAGAACAAGTTATTGTGTTTACTAAAGAACTCTGATTTGTAGCATTTCCTGATTTTCAGTGTGAAAGTCCTCCCACCCAGGCTGATTTCAGGCTACCAGCATGCCCTCCGTGAACTTGGGCAAAGACACACCCAAAGCTGGCATGTGCTGACGGTTGTGAAGATATCAGGGCCTGCAACCCCGGGGCACTTGCCAGCATGGCCTTGCATTGTGTTATTGGTGGCGAGGCGTGGGCACAATTTCCTGTTTGCAGCCAGAATGCTTGTTGTGATCTTTCCTTCTAAACAGAATGAGATAAACTTAGACTTCAACTCCTAACCTTGCTCTCTTACCCTCACTTAGTCTCCAAATGCATTTTGATTGTAGTTAAACGTGGTATTTCCTATGTTTATAGGGTAAAGTGTTTGATTCTTCATGAAGCCTAACAAACATAGGTTGATAATTTTACTTATTCTTTTGTGAATTGCCTATTTAAAACCCTTGTCATTTTCTTGTGGATTGAATGTTTGTTTCTTAGAGATTTAAATGAGTATTCAAATACTGGGTTATTAAACCTTTTCACGTGTATATATATTATTATTCCCATTTTATCATTTGGATAATGGCTTTGTGAATTTTTATTTTTTAATTATTTAATTTTTTTTTTTTTTTTTTTTTTTTTTTTTGTTCTCTGCTTCCTTTCTTATGACCTTGCTCTTGCGATTGGGAGCCTTGTGCCTTGCCTTTGCTGCCCAGAATTGCTTTTTCTCTGGTTGCTGTTTTTTTTTTTTTTTTTTTTTTTTTTGTACCGGGAATCCGACTTAGGACCTTGCACTTGCCAGGTAGGTGCTATGCCACTGAGCTATCTCCCCAGCCCTGTGCATTTTTTGGTTATTGTCTCTGTCTTTAGTTTTTTGTACAGTCAAATTCTAACATTTATACCAGACACCTAAAGACTTTCCACCTCCATATTTTGATCGCTAATTGTACTTCATGTTCTTTAGTGATTTTAATTTTCATTTCTGTTTCTTGAACTTGGAATTTATTGTAATGGGAATGAAAGATTTGGCATCAAATTTAGTTTCTTTCCTAAAAGATGTGCCAGTTGTTCTAACTTCATGTTTTAAATGGTATGTCATACTTCCACTTTTTATAACAAAATCTCATATATAATTATATCAATGTTTTTGAAATTTATATCAGTCTTTTAGCTAATATCAAACTGCTTCAAGTATAACCACTTAAAATATCAGTAGCTCCAGGAAAACTAAGCCCACTAAGATTCTCTATTAGTGTATTTATATCTGTTGCAGATTATTTTTCTTGTAGGTAAACTTTAGCATAATTTTGTGAAATTATAGATGAAAATTCCATTAGATTTCAGTTGAAGATGTGTTTTCTTATAGGTAGTGAGAATTGACATTTTTTGAGAAACAAATCATTATGTTGAATTTTACTATTGAAAAACAGTTTTATGATGTTTTATGGCCGTATGGATACTTTTCTACTAATATATGTTTTATGCTCCTCAATGAGTTTTATGGTTTTGTCTCTATGAGCATTTCACATTTCAACCTGGTGCCATAGCAGGCAGCTGGCTCACCATGACGATGGGCTCCGGGGCCCCGCTGTAGAAGTTCAGGGTCTCTCAGTAATTTGAGCGGTGCAAGGTGTGTAGAGAGGGGAGTGATGGAGCAGAGCCAGCCAGCCGTTCCCCCAGAGAGCGAGCGTGCGTCAGGGAAACATAACTCACTGAAGCTCAAGCCGGGGGAAAGTGATGCAAGAAAACGGAAGAGCAGTGCAGCAGCGGGAAGAAGGCAGCAGAGCGCACCCAGGGAAGGAGAATCCTTAGTGAGGAGAGGGATCCCTGAGGCACAGATGAACAAGACAAAGGGCCCAGGGGCAGGGGGCTCCCAGCAGGAGAGGATGAGCCAAACAATGCAGATAATACAAATGTAAGTTATTCCCTGGATGACCAACACAATCCTATCTTGTGAATTAGACTCTTGCATGGAAGCTCAGATACACTGGTCCTGAGTTCCAAACCTCACCTTTTCTCTGTGATCTTGTGCAGACAGTACTGTCTCCAAAGCATCTTTTTCTAATAAAATTAGGATTTTCATCAATTAAAATAATACACAGTGTTAGGTTGCTAATATGTGATGCTGAGTGAGTGCCTCTCGGCTGAACGAAGGACTGAGTAACGAGCGCGTTGTAGACTGGTTTACACTCTGCAGAGTGAATCGGAGTTCTAGTCTTTGCTGTTTTGCAGACTCAGCTCCTGGCGTGCAGCCCCGGTGAACCGAGTCCATGGCCAGCACCACTAACGTGACCGAGTTCGTCATCACCGGGCTCTTCCAGGACGCAGAGGTGCAGAGAGCGTGCTTCGTGCTCTTCCTCCCCGTGTACCTGGCCACGCTGGTAGGCAACGGCCTCATCGTCCTGACGGTCAGTGTCAGTGACAGCCTGCGCTCCCCCATGTACTTCTTCCTGGGCTACCTGTCCCTGGTGGAGATCTGCTACTCCTCCACCGTGGTCCCCAAGTTCATCTCGGATCTACTGTCCAAGATGAAAACCATCTCCTTCAAGGGCTGCCTGGCCCAGATCTTCTTCTTCCACTTCTTTGGGGTCTCCGAGATCCTCCTGCTCACAGTGATGGCCTATGATCGCTACGTGGCCATCTGCAAACCCCTTTACTACACAATCATTATGAACCGACCTGTGTGTCACCGCTTGGTGGCTGGCTCCTGGCTGGGGGGCTTTTTTCATTCCATGATTCAGATTCTCATCACCATCCCTCTGCCCTTCTGTGGTCCCAATGTGATTGACCACTACTTCTGTGACCTCCATCCTTTATTCAAGACTGCATGCACTGACACTTTTATGGTAGGAATTATTATGTTTGTCAACAGTGGATTATTCTCTGTAATCTCCTTTCTCTTCTTGGTGTGCTCCTATGTGGTGATCCTGTTCAGCTTGCGGAACCATTCTGCAGAGGGCAGGCGCAAAGCCCTCTCCACCTGTGCCTCTCACATCACGGTGGTCCTCCTGTTTTTCGGACCTGCCATCTTCCTCTACTTGCGTCCCGCCTCCACCTACACTGAGGACAAGCTGGTGGCTGTGTTCTACACGGTCATCACCCCCATGCTGAACCCCATCATCTACACACTCAGAAATGCGGAGGTGAAAATCGCCATGAGGAAGTTGTGGGGCAAGTCTGTGAACTTCAGGATGAAATAAAAATGAAAACATGTGAGGCAAAATTGTACAGAATGATTAAAAATGTGATCTGACTTTAGTCAACTGTGAGGGAACAGAGCAAGAGTTAACCCTGTATGATTTTCTGTTGTGTTTTAATTGATCCCACTTTAATTCCATGGTATTGTATCAAGCACGTCACTGCTGTCACTATTTTGGAATGGGTTCACATTGGGGTTTTTTCCGTCTGTTTTCCAAGAGTCTGTAGTGCAAGTTGTATAGAATTTTGGCTGGGTCACCCGAAATGGAATTCCCCCTGTCACTTTTCGGCTGTGTGTCCTTCATGTCATCTCTGGTGTTAGTGTGCTGTATTATGTTCAAAGATCAAATCAGTTGGGGACAAAAGTTCATACGTTGCCAATGAGATCTTGGGGGACTCCCAGGAAGGCTTCTGTATGTCATTGGTCATCTCCTCCTGTTAGCCGAAATTCCATGGAAGGAAGTTTACTTCAGGAGGGAGAGGGGTATTGCTGGAATGCAAATGTGGGAGGTAAAATACAAGAAACCTAATCAGCACAATTTTATGAAACTCTTAGTTGTAGACTGCGGTGATCTATGCTGTGTGTCACTGAGTGGTACAGTTAGGAGTGCATTTGGTTGCAAATAAGATTCAAGCTGTTGAACACTGGGCTCAGGTCAATCCAGCCCCACACCTCCTGTGTGTCTTTGTGTGGCCTATGAGCTAAGAATGGCTTTTGAACGATGGCAAAAAATAGACTCATCATCTTGTGAAGCACAAGAGTTACCTGAAATTAAAATTTTAGCCGGGAATTTAGCTCTGCGGCGCAGTGCCTGCCCATCAAGTGCGAGGTCATGAGTTCGATTTCCGGTACCAAAACAAAACAAAACAAAAAGTTTAAAATGTCTTTGTCCATAATACAGCTTCACGGAATGACTGCCATGCACATATTTTGCATGCTGTCTTTTTCTGTCTCTGTGCTACAGTGGTATAGCTGAGTAGTTGTGACAGAGACTTTGTAATTTGCAAAGCCTAAAATGTTAGTATTTTTTTGGAACAAGTTTGCCCTTGGTTTAAACCATAACACCACTTATTGCTTTCTTAAGGAGATGTTTGGGGGTTGGGGGCCCCAGGTGTGTTTCTACTTCTATGATGGCGGCATGCCGGGTTGGCGCCTCCTCAGCGCCTAGGCTCCGCTGCCATGTTTGCCCTTGTAATATGGCGGCAGCTCCAAGCATCATTTATTCACACGAGGGGCGCAAGAGGCCCACTTTATTTTGGGAAATATTTCTGAGACACCCTGGCACAGTTTCTCTTAATTTTACGCTTGCTAGCGTGACCTAAGTCGGAGATGCCTCGGAGGCTGGGAGAGGGACAACGGGATTGTACACAGATCAGGCGCAGTGTCTGCCCCGGGCTGGGCGTGGCTGCTTGATGCGCCAGGGTCTGTCCTGAAGGACGAAGCAGCTGCCATGCCTGTCACAAGTTTTTGTGAGATGGCTTCAGGGTAGGAGGTGTTTCCAGCACATGAGATAGGTAAGGATTTGACTCTGATTTCAGGCTGACTGAATGATCCAACTCCACCACTCTATGACTGTGCAAACTTTAGAGTGGCCAAAATTCTCAGTGTCCACAACGTAGAAATTTGAGGCCAAGTATAAGAACCATTTACCAGTGATGCCACAGTTTTCCTGGGAAGGGGCCCTCTGGTGGACATGAAGGGTAGGAGGTAAAGGGGGTGCCCTAGGGTATGATGCCTGGAAACAGTGAATGAGAGCCAAACTACCCTTCGAGTCCCTGAAGGCCGAAAGTGGGTCTTGTGTGCATGTGTCCTTTTGTAGTCGAAGTTTTGGGCCAGTTCACTGCAAGTAAATTTGCCCAATTTTCACTTTGCTAACATAAGTGAATTACTGCAGAAATAATTTATTTTTTAGTTCATCTGGCACGTGACTCAATCCTTTATAATATGAATGAGGTGATGATCAAAAAATACAGTGAATGTTTAAATTTAAAAATTTTTATTTCCTCAAAAGACACATTGCTATTAATCCCATTCGAAAGACTCCCCTTCTCTTTGAACACACCTATCTCATTGTTCTCGCCGCTTTCTGAAGCAGTTCTGGAAGTCCTCTTTTGTGTGGGTCTGGTTCTTCTGACCTGGCTTCTTCAATGTCCTGACTCAATTCAAAACATTTTCCTTTCATGGTCATTTTGACACTGGGAAGAGCCAGAGGTCGCACAGTGTCAGGTCCAGGGAATAAGGTGGATGAGGACACACTGTGATGTTTAAGAACCTTGTCTTTCCATTGGGTGACATGCGACAGCAACATTCACCATATATTTTTTCAAATCATACTTTGTAAAAGCACAGAAAAACTTCCAGGACTGCTTCAGAAAGTGGCAGACATGATGGGATAAGAAGTGTGTTCAAAGGGGGAGGAGTACTTTCAAGGGGGATTAGTGCTAATATGTCTCACTGCAGTAATTTAAAAATATTTAAACATTCATTGTATGTTTTGATCATACTTAGTATAGCTTTCATGTTTTCTGAATTCTTCCAGTAGCAATGTGTTTGTGGGAGGGAGAATCTTGTGTAATTTGAATTTCAGCGTTTTGGAAGTATAAAACATCAAGGGTTTCATGTATGATAGTTTTTCTCATCCAGTGAATTTTAAATTCAGTCTAGTGCCTTTCCTACTTCTGTTCCCTCTTGCGTTTACTTTCCAGAGAAAGGGCCACAAGTTCAAATAGTGTTTTCCCGTGTGCTAACCAAACGCTCATATGTCAGGTTGAACTGTCAGCCTCAGTTCATTATTCCTTTCTGTTTCTGTGCCCTGTTCATGTACCTTTGCATTTGGCATGATGAGGGACAGATGGTAGATACTCCATTGCCACTGGATGAATAAATTATATCAAAGTGGTATCAATATCATGTCTCTCTCCTTCCCATGTTTGCCTCATGGCACCAAGTGGCTGCTAGTGCTCCGCTCACATGGCAGCTTTCCTATCATCAGGAAAAAGGGGAAGACAAAATAAGGCCATATTTCCTCCCTCAAAGTTGGAGTTTTGCATAGTTTTTATTCCAGGTGGGCATCTGCTCAGATAAAAATTCAAGGTTTCTAATGTGATAGAAGAAAGAAAAAGGAAACAAGTGTTGGGTGACAGTAGCTACTGGTTCCAAGACAATCAGGCATAAATAAACCCTGGCACAAATTCAGATATTCTGGAATCCAGAACAGAAGTTCTCCTCCACGGTGGTCCCCACCAATCTCTGCTAGGTCTTACTTTTTAATCAAGGTAAGATTTACATGAAAAATGAAGTATAGAGACCATTAGTGTACAGACTAACGACTTCTGACAATTTTATATGTCTGGGTAGGCAACATCCCCACCAAGAGGTGGACTGTTTTTATCATCCTCAAACCATTCATGAGTCTTTCCAGGAACCCCCTCACCCCCACACTGGCACCCACAGTTCTGATTTCTATCTTTGGGAACAGCTTAGCCTCTTCCTGACCTCCTGTAAATGAAAGCATGAAACACGTACTTTTGTATTTGCTTTCTTTCAGCCAACAGAATGGTTTTGAGAGGTGTCTAGGGTGTGAGTTATAATAGTTTGCTCTACTTAGCAAGTAGTTTTCCAGTGCGTGAATATACCACAATAAAAACATTCTCTTGTTGGACACCGTGTTGATTTAAGTCTTTTTTTTTTTTTTTTTTTTTTTTTTTTTTTTTGTCTTTTCTTCCGGTACCAGGAATCGAACTCACGACCCTGTGCTTGCCAGGCAGGCGCTTTTGCCGCTGAGCTAAATCCCCAGACCCCTTGATTTAAGTCTTTGGTGTTGTGCATAAAAGCTACAAGAAACATTTTTTTACATCTCCATTGTTTAAAGAGCATATATTAATAGTCATTTATTTATTTTACTTGCAAAATAATTTTTCACAAGGAGGGATGTGTATGCGGACATTCTTAATGTGAAAGGAGAAATAAGATTGGTGGGATTTAATTGGGATGCAAGAGGCAAGGTCTGAATTAATGGTTAATCCTTGTCGTGTTGGAAAATAAAACCAACCTCTACAAAAAACACAATTTATAGGCTTAGGTGAAAAAATACAATTTTATAGCAAAAATATTGTGACAAGTGCAGTTTCTTGCTACAAACATGCCTAATACACATTTAAAAATTAGGCTGAATCTTTCACTATGTAAACTATTCTGGCTGACGGACCTTCACAGAAACTCAACTCCATGAGCGCCCACAGCAGATCACATACAAGCTTCAGTCAAATATTTGGAGCTTTCCTTTACTTGCTGATCTTCTTTGTGATTCTGTGTAAAGGGTAACAGTACACTCAGAGTTTGTGTGTGCCAAACCAGTTGTGTCAGCCTTTTCCTTGGATCGAAAAGTGTCCAATAGTTCCTTTTTGATCGTTAGTTGACGTTTACGGCATCTTCTTTCAATTCTAAGTTTGTTTTTTTGTTGAATTATATACACAGCTGGTCACTTGTATGCATGTTATACGTGCACATAGAGCAACGGTTTCATATTTTGTTGTCTAATTTTAACAACACACCCAAAAATATCCTTTGTACTTTTTTCAGTCATTTTTTATTGGTTATGCAGAGTAACAGGTTTCATTCTGACCCATTAGTGCATGCCATGACAACTATGCAACTGTTGTCATTTCCCCCCGTAACCTCTTTTCCCTGCCCTTTCCCATGCCACGTATTTTGGGGGAGTTTCCACGCGTACATTTTGCTCACGTCCGTGCCCCATTGCCTGCATTTACACCCTCCCCCACCTTCTCCGTGTCTAACAATAGTTTCCTTTCTTCTTATCTTTCGTAGATTTTTGCATGTTAGAACACGTGATATTCGTCTTTCTGAGTCTGGCTCATTTTGCTTAACACGGCGGCCTCCAGATCCACCCATTTTCTTGCAAAGGACAGAATTTCATTCTCCCTTGCAACTGATTGACAGACCGTGTGTATATAGACTACATTTTCTCTGTCCTTTCATTGATGGGCACCTGGGCTGGCTCCATATCTTGGGTATTGTGAATTGTACCTCAGTGGGTATGCGTACGCATGAATCTCTATACTATGTTGACTATTGGCTTCAGATATACACAAAGCACGGTATAGGTGGATCAAATTGTGCCTCTTTTTCATTTTTTGTGGATTTGTGTCCTGATTTACATTCCTACTGACATATAAGTCTTCCTGTCCCTCCAGTGCCTCAAAGGCATGTATTGCTTTTGTATTTTTGATACTAGCACTCTGAGTGGGATGAGATAGAATCTCAAGACAGTTTTGATTTGTATTTCCTCAATTGTAACTGTAATCAAAACTCAGCCACCAGCACTTGTGAGTGGCAGTGGCACAGCCCCTATCATTTTATAAAGTGCTCTTATGGCATCTTTAAGATGCTTTGTCAGACAATTTGAAACATAGACAGGTGTGGTCAAAGTGATGTGAAGGGCTTCTGTGTACCCAACACTCAATTTCAGTGATTAGCACGTTAGGGGAGACATTCTTCCATTTACAACCAGAGTATGTCAAGGGCAGCTCTATGGATCCTTGCATTGCAGTGCTCTGAGGGCCTTTCCCAGGCCTTTGGGATATCCCACAGCATCGCCAGCCTCTATCTACAGAGTGTTAATCACACCCTCCCTCCCAGGCCAGGCCAGACAGTGGAACATCCCTCAGACATTGCCAAGTGTCCTCTGTGGGACAAGGTCACCCTGGATGGGAACCACTGATCCTCCTCCACTAAGCCAAGGGTACCTCAGTGTCCTGACACCCGTGGTCCCTAATCCTTGGACCCACTCTTTTGATCAGTGTCATTTTACTTACAGCCATGTGATTCAGGTCATGATAACCAGGTGTGTTTCACTGTCTAACTGGGTAAGAGCTCTTCACTCTGAGGTCCTGCTTCCCCTGGGATCTTCTGCTAGGTTGGGAAGGCCTAGAGAACAGCTCCCTGGGGCCCCGCCTCCTCCTGGGCAGGGTTTCTCCCTGGTGTTGTAAACTCTGTGAAATCTGCCCCGGTTGCCAGATCTTTGTGGAATAGCTGCGAGCCAGCGCTACTGGGCTGTTGTTTTTAAATCAGGTGAGCAGAGACTCCACACTTCATCTGCGCATCCCTAGGCCGTGGACGGGGAGCAGATGCTGCACCTGGAGACTCCAGCAAGGCGGGGGCTCTGATTGCCACAGGCCCGGGGCTTCCTGCCCATGGGTCTCTGGAAACCCACAGGGTTTGCTGATCTCAGGCCTCCTCCACACAGCTGTGCTCAGAAGAGAGCGTCCTGTGCTGAGAACAGCAGAGTCAGCGAAACACCACTGCGAGTTGTCTTTTGTCATTCTGGCTTCTTCTGCATGTGATGGTTGATTCCATCTTGAGAGCAGAAGGAATGGAGCTGTGACCCACAGGGAACTCCGCAAGCGCCCCTGCGTGGGTCTGGGCTTGGAGGCGAGCACAGGGGAGGCCCTGGGGCTGAGGGATGGCGAAGGTGTGATAGCGGAGCCTGGGCACCATTATTCCTTCATATTGAGCACTTCGCGCTAAGGCTCCTGAGGTGCACAGCCCCTCCCTCCATCCAGTGACAGTGACAGTGACAGTCCCTCAACACTGCTCCCCACAGTGACTTCCGTGAGCCCTGGAGACGGGGTGGTGAGCAGGTCACCTCTGCCCCCAGGAGGCCCACACTGCAGAGGGACAGACGGCGACGCAGCAGTTCTGATTCGGCCTGGTAGGCGCTGTGCCTGCAAATGTCCTTGAGAGAGTGGGTACTGGCGATGAGGGCCTGTGGGTTGCAGGGAGGGACATCCCCTCTCTGAGAGAAAGCGCAAGCAGCATACAGAAGGAGGCTTAACTCAGCCTGGGATGGAGCTGGGAGTGGCACGTATGGTATCTACCTATGAGTCTGTATGTCTGGATCTTGGTAGCGTCTGTATGTTTGGCTCCTGACTACCCGAGAGGTTAAGCAACTTTCTAGCTGTCACACAGGCACTACCTGAAATACCCGGAATAGGAACCCAGAAGTCCAGACTGGCAGCAGTGCTTTCCTCCATGAGTGGCTTCCTGGTAGAATTCCCCACTTATCCAAGCAGTTAGGGCTGGTCTCTGTCCCCTTGTTTCTATAGCTGTCGGTTCTATCAGCTGTGAGTTCCTTATAGTTCCAGGCGGCCTTTAATCAGCTGAGCCCTGTGGATCACGGAAGGAAGGAAGCTTTGTGCTGCTAGTGGAAATCCCTGGGTCCTCATCACATTGTGTGGTGGGCTGTGGTGAGACACAGAAACTTTAGCTAGTACGAAGTCCAGCATGGACCAGGACAGTCTGCAAATCAGTGGCTGAACAGTTTTGGTGAGGCCGTGATGTGGCCGAGCTGCGGAGCGGGATGTGGGGACAACAGTGGAGCCTGGGGAGGGGCGTCGGATGGTGATGGGCACTGAGGACGAACAATAGAGGAAAGGAAGTTGTTAACAAAGAGAACCCTGCAGGGGTTTAAGTGTTACTAAGTAGAGAAGGCAAGAATTAGGAGAGGAAGCAGGCACGCCATCACGGGTCCTCTCAGAGGCCATGTTAGTGGCTGTTAGCACAATGAAGGGGCACCAAAAGCATCTCTTCTGACAACTCTCGGGGGCACACGGGGAGAGTGAGGACACTGTTCTACAAGCCAAGTACAGAAAAGGAGCAAGTGACAGTAACAGTACACAAAAACTGCAGGCAAAAGACAAGAGCACCAAAGGCGACAGGAACTGGACATAGAGACAGTAAATTTGCGGTCCCACGTTGTCCGTGAGGGGACTTACAACTTTCTAATGAGGTGGCTGTCCTCGGGTCTGCCTCCACTATTCCAACTTCTGTACCTGAGCTGATTTTACTTTCTGGTGATGAACCCTGGTGACCATTCCCTAATGACTCCAGGATAAAGCCCAAAGTCCAGAACAGCCCTTTACACACTGGCACTAATCTCTGTGCAGATTTAGCTTCTGCTGTCCTCTCCTTTTCTTCCACCCATATATGATACATTTGCACTTGCTCCCTGCCTTCAAGGACGGCTCTCTCCATCACTAACTCCTGCTCACCTTCAATATTTAGCTCACAAGGATTCTAACGGCTTCTCTGTAATTCACTCACTGCATGAAGAGGTCTTTTCTTTGGTGTCATTTCAGATCACACCACTGAAATCGCTGTCGCTTGTGCCCTCATGCCGAGCCCATACAATGTCACTGAATTCATTTTCCTGGGATTTTCTCCCAGTCTGCAGGTGCAGAGGGCTTGCTTTGTGATCTTTCTGCTCCTGTACGCCGCAATTGTGCTGGGGAATTTTCTCCTCATACTCGCTGTCCTGAGCAGCGCAAGTCTTGGATCCCCCATGTACTTCTTCCTCAGCTGCCTGTCCCTGGTGGAGATCTGCTACTCGTCCACTACTGCCCCCAAACTCATCTCGGACCTGCTGGCTGACAGGAAATCCATCTCAGTGGGGTGCTGCATGGCACAGCTTTTCTTCCTGCATTTCTTTGGTGGCATTGAGATTTTTGTGCTGACAGTGATGGCCTATGACCGCTACGTGGCCATCTGCAAACCTCTGCACTACACGACTATCATGAACTGGCAGGTGTGTGCTGTCCTTGTGGGAATAGCGTGGGCGGGAGGCTTCCTACACTCCACTGCCCAGATCCTTCTCATCTTCCAGCTGCCCTTCTGTGGCCCCAATGTGATTGACCACTATTTCTGTGACGTGCTGCCTCTGCTCAAACTTGCCTGCTCAGACACCTTCCTCATTGGTCTCCTGATTGTTGTCAATGGGGGAACCCTGTCTGTGGTCAGCTTTGTGATTCTATTAGCATCTTATGTGGTCATCTTGGTCCATCTGAGGACCCGTAGCTCTGAGGGGCGGCGCAAAGCTCTCTCCACCTGCGCATCCCATATCACTGTGGTGACCTTGTTCTTTGCACCTTGCGTCTTCATCTATCTGAGGCCTTCTGCCACTCTGCCTGTAGATAAGCTGGTAGCCGTGTTCTACACTGTGATAACCCCGCTGCTCAACCCTGTCATCTACTCGCTGAGAAACGCTGAAGTGAAGAAGGCCGTGAAGAGCCTGTGGATCAGGACAGTGAGGCGAGTGACAGACAGAGGCTGAGTGTTGTTTGGGGTCTTGGGTTTGGAATGATTTGGAGTCCAAATTGAAGGGGACCATGGCTGGATGGAAAGTTCACATGACTTCTTGGTTCTAGAGTTATTCTATCTCATGTACATCTTCAAAAATTCCATCTTAATCACTCTTAAAAGATGTTCTAATGGCAACTAGTGACCATACTCATAAGTGAAATAAATCAGACTCTCATGTGTAAACATCGTACTACCTCCCTAGTGTAAGAACATGAAAGAGTAAATAAAATCCAAAAGGTACAATAGGTATTGTGAAAGGGAAAGAAACTGCTCAAAAGGAAAGAACTGGGATGAAGGAAAGGAGAAAGGAAAGAAGCAAGGGAAAATATATATCTATACACAGATAGCTAACATAATTGTACTACTAATTTCTATTGGTGTTTTGAAAGGAACAATTAATGCTTAATTTTTTTGATCACTTTTACATGCCTGTATCTGGTAATCTGAACAACTGCTTTGAAGATAACAATATGCAGTATACAACCATTGTTGATTTCCTATCATCTTGGTTTGAAATTCTGTATCAATTTAAATGTTTTTCTGATTTTTTATTCTCTTCAAAATAAAATGTATGTTGTAGTGGATGTACTGTAAACTTTATATTTATTTTAGAACATTGATTATTTTTATTGTACTAAGTAACACTGTGGTAAGTATTCTTGAATAGCAACATTCACCTCTATGGCACGTTTTCTCTTGTCTGACTTCCTGTAGGGAATTTACTAGGTTACAGAGAATAAAGACCTCTGATGCAGTGTCAGATTGAATCACATATCTAATCAAAATGCCCTTGACAGAATCAGGACATTGTCTTTTTGATGAGAAATAAGACTGTTAATGAATCTCAAAGTATCTCCAACAAAATATTTATTAATTTCAAAAAGGACAGTGTGACTGTATATCCTACTCCTTTATGTAATTGTCTGAAAGTAATATCCTCAGGATGATATAAACTGATGCCATAGGTTTCCTGATAAGATGTGCCAGAGACTCCAGAAGAAAACCCATGCATATATGGACAATGCATTTTTGGCAAAGGTAGCAAAAATGCACAGTGGGGGAAGGAGTAGTATCTTCAATAAATAAAGTGAATACGCACATGCTAAAGAAGAAAAATTAGAAAATTCTTTCATTTTATATGTGAAAATCACTGGATGCCTAAAAATTGGTCACTTATAATTAATTATTTATTCATTAATTTCAGCACAGGCTCTGGAGTTAAAGCGTCTATGTCTAAATTATACTCTTGTCAATTGGCGATGTGATCTTCAAGTAGTTTCTTGTAAAATTTTTAGCTCAGTTTTTTCAGCTATGTACAGGGATAAGACTAGTATGCTTTTCATGGAGTACATGAAGAATATATAAAATTTGTGTAAAATGTGTACAGAATATTTGGTACCTATTAAACACTCAGTAGATTGTGTGTGTGTGTGTGTGTGTGTGCATGAGTGTGTGTGTGTGCGTGTGTGTGTGTGTGTGTGTGTGTGTGTGTGTGAGAGAGAGAGAGAGAGAGAGAGAGAGAGAAAGAGAGAGAGAATGACAGGAGAAATTCTCTTCCTCCATTCCTTCAGGAATGCAGAAATAACATGCATGGATCACTGGTTTCACTTCTCCACTCTATTCAGTAAGCCTTTGTCCGCTGATGCACGGTATTTCATTGAGAAAGTCTATGCCTGTGACAGAAGCCAATCCTATTTATCTTGGAATTAACAAATTAAGGTGTTATTAACATAACATACAGAAGGATTTAGCATAGATTTCTTTAAGGAATGAGACTACCTGGAGCTATAGAAATAGACTTCTCGTCCTTGCAGAGTTTCTGGTGGGCTGTGGATGAGAGGAAGATGCCACGGCTGCACATTGTTTCATAGTCTGTTTAGCCGAGGGTGTGGAACTTGGAAGGAACAACACGGCTACAGTAGGGGGTGCACAGCAGAGGCAGATGGAGGTGCACATGCTACTTCATTTCTCCACTGGCTTCTCTGCTTCTTAGTGGAGCATTGGTCACCAGTCACATATTCTTGAGTGAGCCAGTACCAGGACATCTGGTCCTTTAACCCAACTGCATACCTTGTTAGCTTTGTAGGCTTGAACTGATCTTCTAACTTTTCTGATTGTATGAGAGATACGTTACTTTGATTATATGTTGCTAGGAAAGCTGAATAATAATGTCCAACACAAAAGTAATGCGTGGTAGCTTAGGAAACTATGCCTAACACTTAGCAAATTCTAGTTTTTTAGAGAGCTTGTGTGTGAAAACCATGGGAATTCTGGAGAATTTTGGGAAATCCAGGGAATTCTGGGGGAATTTTGGGAATTCTGAAGCCCTTGCCCATGAAAACCATGTGCTGGTGGTGGGAATTTATGGCAAAATGCTTAGAATTGGCCAGGGATATAGCTCAGTGGCACAAGTGCCTGCCTGGCAAGCACAAGGTCCTGAGTTTGTTTTCCTGTACAAAAAAGAAAAAAAGAATGCTTAGAATTTTAAGAATGGGAAGCCCTACTTCCTTAACAATAGGAACTAGCAGAGGGCTGATTTAACATTGCTACCGATGTACAAGTGAGTTTTTCTCACTTTTGAGGTGAATGAGTTGGATGAGATGAGCCATTCTGAGCACCCTCTGATTCAGGCATGTACAAAGTGTGTGTGTGGGGGTGCAGACCCACTGGCTAACGTCTTCCTGGGACTCTCCCAGTCATCGGTACAAGGAGAGGTGTGAGTGCAGCGCAGGCCACTTAGAGCCTTTGAAGCTGAGGGGTGATGTAACGTTGGATTCTCTTTTGTCCTTTCTTGAGAGTAGAAGAGGAAACATCACAGGCCAGACCAGAAGGGGGCAATTATACAGAGGCAAGTAGAAGTCTTAGTTTTATAATTGGGTTAATTAGAGAGAAGGTTCCTAAACCTCTGAGTGAAACAAGGGAAATTAATTTTTCTTCTTCTCAGAAACTCCTCAGAGGATGCTAGAAAAGTTCAGGGAATTCAATTCTCTGATCTTAATCTTCTACTCCCTAACCCTTAAATGCTTCAGGCTTCTCAGTTCAGCAAACATTTCCTGCAGTTCCCCTTTTTGTAGCTTAAGGGTAGACTGATCCTGTTCTATTCCCTTGTAACTTTCCTAGGAGAGCGTCATTAAGTGCTGGAGCTGGCAGATAGAGGTGGTGATATCGGTGGCATGTGGTGAGTTCCTGGGGAAGGCTGGCCTTCAACAGTGCCTCTTATAGCTCCAGTGGATTCTGAGCTGGTTACATCCACTGAGCCCTTCCTGGATGAGCAGACGCCCAGCGGTACACACACCGGCAGCTTTCACAGCTGTTATTCTTGCTGCCTCGCAGCAGGAGGGCTTCTTACATTGCCCACTCTTAGCTTGTGGGCAGACGTTCAATATCATCTTGTTAAAGTGTCCCCGGTCTGTCTAAATGACAGAGTAAGAAATGACCTGATAGCTCGACTGGAAGCAGATATTACAGTCATTCTTATCACTGCCAATGGTGACAGCCTGTAGGGAATTATGACCAAAGCGAGTTTTCAGAATCAACTTCTGAGTTATGTATTCTTCAGGAAGTTCTTTTGAGACATTGAAGGGACCTGCTAAGACATTCTTATATCCAACTGTCTCTGGGGGAAATAAAAGAATTAATCTGAGTGGATATTAGCTTACACAGAAGCCCAAATTTTGCTGAGAGCAAATTTGAATTGAGATTTCTGTTTTCTAATCCATGTCTCTAGACATTGTTAATGAAATAAAGTCCTGTTTTCCTGGGGTGACTGAGCGCAAATGAATCAGTTTTTAGACCACAATAGGTTTGGGAGAAAAGTCTGAGGCAAAGCAGCAAACTCTGTTCAAGGGAAATTAGTTCACTAACTCTGCCCTGGGATATACCTGGAATTATTTAAAAAGAAACAAGTTTGCTTTTGACACTAGATTCCTTTTCCATATATATTTTCTTTCTTTTCAAAAATTCTTTATTAGTACCTGTTTGCAGTACCTACTGATTGCATTCCTTGCGAGGAGTTGGTCCATGTACATAACACATCTTGTTTTCCCCTCCCTTTCTTCTCCTCCCTCTCCCCTCCCTGCATCTCTTGGTCTTCTTCCTTTTTGCTAAAGATCCACTTCCCTATTTCCTGTTATCTGTCTTATATTTGGTCTTTATTTATACTTTGAGTTTCTCATATAAGAGAAATCGTGCGATATATGAACTTGTGTGTCTGATATATTTCACTTAACATTATGGTCTCAGGAGGTATCCATTTTCCTACAAATGACTGAAGCTTATCCTCCTTTACTTAGTCTGTTTACAAAACACCCCTAGTGTTACCTTGGCTTTGAAATAGCTGCAGTAGCAGATGGAGAATTCAGGGATCACAGCAAAACCTCTTATTAACATCCACTGTATTCCTAGATCTCTGCAAGGTGCTGTGGAGAGTATAAGAGATTCTCGGCCGCCTTTAAGAACATACACTTCACTGGAGAGCCCTGGCAGATCTGTGTGAGACACTTAGACAGTGTGGAAGTAGCAAGTTCTTAAATCCCCAAGGCAAATCTTGCACAGGTTGTCATCCTGGGTGCCCTGTTTGCCTGACCATTGTCCTCTTCAAGATCTCTAAGTTCTGCACAGAGCATTTGGGCAGAAATTCCACCTCTGGCATGTCAGCACCCAGCTTAGACCACCTTATAGTTAATTTCCGCACTTGTTAGTTTTTAAAAATCGTACTCTTCTCTTTACTTTTGCTATAATGCTTGATTCTTTTCCTGGTCTCCCTCCCTTCTGAGGGCAGAACTGGCTCAGCACCCGGAAGGGGAGCCAGCGAATGAGATAGAGAAACAGGTTGCACAGTAGTCTTGAAACCTGGTTGTCTTCTTGGCTTTGTAGCAACCAGCTGTGGGACTCTGGGCCTCGGGTTCTCTGCTGTATGATGAGGAGCCCAGGAGCTTCAGCCGAGAAGGTGGAAGGAGAGGTCCCTGTGGCTGATTCCTCTGTGATAGGAAGTCTTCGGAGGAAAAGTGAGAGAAAGGCAACACTGAAAGAGGAGAGTTGGACCAATTGTGCCATTGAAAACGTCAGTGTACAAGGTTTTGTGACTGGAAAAGTCTAAAGGGAAACCACAAAGTGAGGACTAGGTTAATTTTAAAAATTTGAAAAACATTATTGTGGCCAGCCTGTCTTAAGCTTCTCTGTTCATTTCTACTGCAGGTTTACTTTTCTTTTTCTTTCTTTCTTTCTTTCTTTCTTTCTTTCTTTCTTTCTTTCTTTCTTTCTTTCTTTCCTTCCTTCCTTCCTTCCTTCCTTCCTTCCTTCCTTCCTTCTTTCTTTCTTTCTTTCTTTCTTTCTTTCTTTCTTTCTTTCTTT